TTTTACTACATGGTCTTTATTTATATTTCTATTACAGGAGGAAATGTGTTTTTTTGTGTGACATGTAGCAGCGTCTTATAATCACATGCAGGATGGGTCAGATTATTTGCACGACAGAAATAAAAACTAACCATCTAAGTAATTGCCGTCTGTGAGTTAAAACCCACTGTGGCGTCAAATTTAGAGCCCAGACTACACACAGTGTAGATGAGTGTCTCTGCGAGGTCACCCTGAGGTTTTTCAAGGGACATTTTAAAGCCTTCTGTGGCTTTACACAATCTTGTAATGGGAGGTTAAAAGGAAAGTCATCACTCTATTAAATCCTCCATGTTTTCATGAATCCAGCATCTAGTGGCCATTAAAGGAATTGCACCTTGAAGCACTACTACACTACATCACTACTCCATCTAGCACTTCCACATCCATCCTCCCGTTGCCATGACATGAGCACCTCTTGGTCACACAACAGCCTTCACCCCTTTCACGCTCTTCTTCTGTTTTATTTAATAATGTAGCTGCCACATTTCCTTTGACTCTTTGTGTAAGGAGACAGCCCCTCTCTGGAGTCTAAACAGCCTTCTCCTCCCTCTTCTCAGGGGAAAACATTTTATTTACTCTCTATAGGCTCAGTGACGACAACATCCTCACGTTGCCATAGTTACACTTCAATACGTTGATCCATGGTTGGCTAAAGAGGGTTTTCTCACAGCTTGATAATGGTGTGAAGTAATTTGCTCTCATTTAACCTGACTATACTATTAGAATATATTATTTACAGTTTTGCATGAGTGTTTTTTTTTTTTACTGGTTTTGAATATCTGATGTAAACAGAAAGCTTTTATTCAACACACCGACACAGTGCGTTTTTATTAAAGTGTAAATCAATGTCAGATCATAAAGGGCCTTCTGCGAGACCATCTCTGATTTGCTTGAAACATTTTTTTAAAATCATAAATTATGGATATATAAATTGGCATCTGTGAAATTTTAGATCGATTTATTAAGTACTTTCTGAGATAAATGTTATAAAACCAGCTCATTGGCTCACTTACTTCTAGTATTGCAGGAATGTGAATGTCTTCATTAAAGAAAAAAAATAAAATGAAATTGTTATTTCTCATCATGCCAGAATTTTCTTGAACAAGTAGATCAAATAGCCTCCGATTAC